GTCAGAGGAGATGAACGAAGTAGCGCGCAGGCCTCCCAAACCCCCACACTGAGCAGCCCCCGAAGTTAAAGAAGTTAAAAACTTCCTCAACATAGGTTATAACTAGGGATAACATATGTTATAACCTATGCTAAGTTCGATAAGTTCCTTGGAAGTTATAACACAAATATAAGTAAGTTCTAAAACATGTGAAATTTATAACATAGTTATGACACATGCTATGTTGAAGCTTGCAGAACTTAGAAACAAGTTACGGAAGTTATTTTTTATGTTTGTTTTTTGATGATTTGTAAGTTCTGTGCAAAAAAAAGTATATTCACCAACAAGGTTAATAAGTGCTCACATTGTGCAGGATTCGTTGATTCTTTTGGCGGTTGTCTGCCCAGGCTGTGTGAGATGCACCATGATGCACATGTGACATTTTTTAATTGTTGTTGTTCAGAGACACCACGCAGGAAGACACAACGAAAAAGAAACGCAATGCAATTATTTAACCTTTGGCGGTTGTTCTGCCCAGAAATGCAACCTTGTATGGAAAGAAATTGTTTGTGTGCAGACATACCGATCATTTTTTTGCGATAGAAACGGAAGGCGCAGGGATACAGAGAGATACACAGGGATACATTGGGATACACGTGTATCCCGGTGTATCCCGGTGTATCCCCGTGTGTCTCCTTAGACCTCCTTACCACCAAGTTTTTTTGATCTATGGAAAGAGGGAAGCGTTGAGTTATCGAAGGATGATGTTCTCTTCTTTGGACGTGACAGTGCAGGATTGGCTTTGTTCCTTCTGGAACGAGAAGAGCGTTTTTTCGCTTTCATCGAACAACTGGCGGAAGAATCAGCAGCGGTTTTCAACACTCGCGCGTTCAAACGAACGCCCCAGATCGAAGCTGTGCCAATCGGTTGCAGCAATGTCTGGCGGCCAGCGTGGTGGTGCCACGAAGATGACAAAGTCGTGTGTCTGCTGTAAAAGTGCGACTGGCTGTGGACTTGTGGCGGTTGTCTGCCCAGAATTTGAAAACACTTGTGTTTTCTGTGTTTTTGGCTCGGCGGTTGTCTGCCCTGATTTTTGGCAACGCAAACAACTTAAGCAACTTAATAACTTCTACAACTTTCTTATAACTTACTTACACTTTCTTTCATATAACTTACTTATAACTTATTTTTAACTTCAGTAAGTGCTATAACTAAAGTTATAACTTTGATAACTTGGGGGGCTGCTTAGTGCACCGGCGGCCAAGCGGTGACAGCCCAGCTCATCGTCGTGAGCATTTGGGCTGCTGGTAAGGGGAGAAGCAGCGTGCACGGCTGCAGGGAATCTCACGGAAAAAACCGAGCTGGAATGAACACAGAAAATGCTGAGGCAGCCACGCCAGAAGCGTCTCGAAGCAATGACCTGTCAGAGGAACTCCAGTCAAAGGCTTTCTGCCTGCCAATTGCATTGGTATCCATGCATCAGCATGGACCTGAGTCTCAGGTGTAGGATCTTCCTCACGTTTCACGTGTGCACCCAAGGCACTAATCCCCAACGCACGTAAAGAAAGCTGAAGACGACACTAAGGGGAAGGAGCGGAAGCTGCCAAAGCAGGTGTGGGACTGCAACTTGATGACAAGTGAAACCAAAGTCACGAATGAACGGATCTGCGAAGCCTTCAAACCACATGCTGCACTGCAGACTGAACAATAACGTGTGAATCATCTGCCTCTGGTCATCCTGGTTGACGCTGAAGAAGTGGTCGTCAACAATGCCAAGGTTCCCTGGCATGATGGCTGGGCAAAGAGGAAGACCTACGAGCTAGTGGGCTGCAAAGTAGTAAATAGCGCATGCATAGCCATAAGAAGGCTCTGTTTGCGTCGTAAAGGTTCATGTGCGACATGAATATTGCAAAAGCTTGTGGGGTGCGTGAAACTTCTTCCAAGTATATGCGTCACTGCTGTTGAGTAGATATTTTGGTAGTTGGCTCAAGTTGTATGGAGACTTCTGCAATGTCACTGTCAGCACCGACAGGTCAGCCACGGAAAATACACAGTCTGTTGGTGCAGGCGCTCTGAGGGTGACATGTGCTTCGCTCTAGATGTAGTTAAGAACCACTATGCTGTTCATTTTCTAATCGCCTCTCCTACAGAAACATGCAACAAAGTAGCACGAGGTTTAAAAACCGAGCTGGAATGAACACAGAAAATGCTGAGGCAGCCGCCAAATCGCACTCTCGCCTGCATTTCGCGCACTCGACACGCACGATCTCCGCAGAGGATTGCGCGGGCAGCCGGCAAATCGCACTCTCGCCTGTATTTCGCGCACTCGACACGCACGATCTCCGCAGAGGGTTGCACTTTC